GGGGGAAGTCTGTCCTTTCTGGACAGTCTTCAGTTTTAAAACATCTGCTACGTGACTTCCTTGGCTGCCAAGATTTTTGTGAAGGTGGGAGGGTTATTATAGGACTGGAAATAGTGAATCACACAAGACGTGGCATAACCTTGAGGACCTATCCCTGAGGAATTCCACGGTTTAGGTGGAATGGTAGAAGTGCCTGGGTGTCTGAATTCTTCAGTTCCATTTCCATGGCCCTCTGAGTAAGAACACCGGGCTCTGGCTGACCTGGGGTGGGGAGGGAAGTGACACACCGTGTCTTGTTCTGAAGCTGCTGCTTTTACCCTCTCCCTAATGGTGTAGTTAGGACAGCTCCTAGCACACGCATTGCACAGCCCTAATACGTCCACCCACGTTTCCACTTATTTCTACATTCTCCTGTTTGCTTTGAGCAATGTGTTTACAACTCTGACCTTTTGACAAAACCCTTTAACTTCTGGAACTGACTGTGCTGCCCAGAGAGATGTGGTTAGACTGTTGGTCAGCGCTGAGAAGGCTGTGTGGAGGGAGACCTGTGATGAAATGCCTGGACATGTGAAAACATCCTCCGAGGCTGTTGCACTACACTTACGCTTTGCTGATTTTCTCCTGATTTTAGGATGAGTTTCTTCTCCTCCCTCCTTTTCCTGGATCTTTTCAGGTTTGAAAATGTGCTGAACAAATAGACAAGTCATATTTTTCTTTCTAATTTGCCTTTTTGTGGAGTTTCCCGTTATATTTGCGATGATACTAATTTTTACAGTCATGTTCTATCTTGACTGGTAAACTTCTATATGGAGATTTTTCTCTTTTCAGAGCCATTTCATGTCTAAAACTAAGGAATAAACTGAATAGGAAGCAGAAAAGCTAGTAAATAAAAATCAATTTAAAATGACTATCAGGGACCATAGAATTAGTTCATATTGGTAATTTGCAAAGTACCTTTAACCAAGGACAACTAATCCAAGGGCAAAATTTCTCACTTCTCATTTCTGGGTATTTCTGACAGGTGGTTCACCTGGGCTCAAGGAACTGGTGGACTTGAAACCTCTATCAGATCCTATCCTACTTGCTCTTGCTCAGCAGGTGTCAAAATCACCTCACAATGAAGGGATGGGAGGAGAATGGCTTCTTCTGTCAATACTTGAATGTTTTGTTAACAGAATTTCCATATAAATGTAATATTTAAAACATACTTATAAAAAATGTCATGTGCTCTTGAAGTATAGGTAGGTTAACACTGAGTTCTCATGGACTTTTTAGCTAGAACACTGTAAAAAAAAGATTAAAATCAAGGTAAGACCTCAAATCCTGAAAACTGATAATTTATGTTCCCTGCATTTTGTGTTTTGGGGGACAAAAGAGAAATCTTCCAGATTTAATGGTGTGTGTGTGTGTGTTTGTACTCAAAGTTAAATCTGGAAAACTTGTTGTAA